TGTATCTACCTTTGTAGTTTCATATGTGCATTCATTTCGGGCCTGATGAAGCCAACCAGCAGAAATACGTATCGCTCGGGTTACCTATCCTATTTTCTGCTCGAATCCACTTTCCTCCTTTTTGCTGATTTTGCCAATTATTTTCCTACTTTTTGTTATATACCTTTCTCCGCTTAACTCCACTTGACTATTTACTGCATAAAAATATTGGATAGTAGAGAAGTACAGCTGTACTACAAATAAATTGAACGGAGGAAAACGCACGAGAAGCTGATCACAAACTAAACAAATCTTAGCAAAAAAGTATAATGCCGGAGAAAAACACATTTAAAAAGCATCGTTAAGCAGAAGAGCTTTTAAATGTTCTTTAAAACTCTATAGAGGCAGGCTTTTCGTTCTTTTGTATCAGCTATTATACAACACGCTCGTATTGTATGAGACCGTTCAAATAGAGATGACCTGTGAGGGGGCATTGTTAATAAAGATGTATTACGCATAGATCGTTGATCTAAAAATTAGTTGTTCGCATAAATAAATTGGAGTGCAAGAGATAAGTAACTTAAGTAAAAAATTTAGATAATTACATTCGCTTTGACTACATCTGTTTTGTGATTTGGACAAAACAGCACAGCAGAATATTTAGAAGAATAAGGCTTGGTTGTTGTTGGGTTCTGGAGATCCTCGGGGTAAAATAAGTAAAGCAGTTTTGGATATCGGCTACGTAAATTAAAAATAACATAGGGCTTAAAACTGAGCCCTGAGGCACACCAGAAGTAGTAAAGTGCTCATTTGACAAAACTCCATACACTGAGACGCGCTAAAACCAGCAGGTTAGGTATGATTTTGAAAACTGCACTGCTTTTTCAACAAAACCATAAAATTTCAGCTTGGCACACATTAGTGCGTGATCAATTCTATCAAAGGCCTTGGAGAAATACAGTGATACTAACGCGACATGCATTTTTTATACATTCATAACCTTTTTTGTCTGCTACCAGAAAACACCTATGATTGTAAAATTCATCTGATTCAGGTTGCGGTAATTTTGATAATATTTTTATTGGAGAGACGGTGCAAAACAATTCACAACTACAATTGAAGGCACAAATGGATAAAGGTATCATGTAACAAAATTATTGTATGGACATTATTTGTACATCATGGACATTTTTATTCGGAATTTTTTACTTTACTTTACTTTAGTTTAATTAGTTTGTTATTATCTTGTTTTTGCAGCAATCACAGAATCAGAGAATCACTCCTTAAGGTTATTTTAATGCAAAAAAAAGTTTTTAATAACGTGACACCTTTATCCACTTGTCTCTTCAATGGCTCTCTGTAGTAATTAACTGATAAAATTACTTGGAAATGGGCAATTCTTATTCTTTTGGAGATTTCGTACAATCACATGGTCATTACAGTTGTGGAATGTTTTATTATTTTCTAACAGTTTGACAGGAGTTTGGCCTAATCAAGCGGAATCGCACAGCAACCCTCTGTTGCGTGATTCAGTAGACTACACAGTCGAGCAAGTTCGCAAACACTCCAGGCCTCGCACTGTGATCAAAATTAAATTGTAAATTCAAACCAGCCAAAATTATTTCAGTATACAAAACCGATCAAAATTATTTTGTATGGTTACAAATTAATTCGAGTACTAGTCAAAGCAATAATTCTTAAGCAATTTCAAATGATTTACTTCTTTTCTTTGCTCTATTACTTCCTTTCTTTCTTTCCTTATTTCCCTTCTCTCCTTAACATGTTTGATATCTGGGTAGCCAGATCTGACAGACTAACAGACCGCCGAGACTTTTAACTAAGAGCAAAGGTCCACCGGACCGCTCTGACGAATAACGACGAGTAGGAGTTTGGCCGATCGTCTGCTAGCACGCCTCCGAAGTCGGTCATCTCTCTCTAAATGGGCGGGATCAGTGGGAGGCGTGAGTGATGTCATTTTTTGACGTTTTGTCAAGATTTTCTCGCTTATGACACTGATAAACACAGGATTTGTGACATGACAATTTTTTGGTGTATCGTATGTATTTTGAGACCCTTAAATCAAATCCAAAAACATATTCGGTAACATCTACTTTTATGAATTACAATACGTAACATCTCATATTGCTGCGTTTCTCGGCGTTTATGCGATGACGCACATATATAATGTTAAGAACTGTCTATTCCTGTTGATTATATGCGAGCTTTATGTTTATTAGTAGACTAATAGCAGCCGAGTCAGTTACGTTTTCTTTGTTGAAGAGTACTGAGATGTTCTGAGTACTGTGAATTTTTGTTAAAACGGTGTATTGTTTTTAGTTTATTGTGATCGAGACTAGCTTTACGGTTAATGCCTAGAAATTGTCTAAATAGTGCGAACAGTTATTATTATGTGTGCGGAGAAGCTATTAAATCCCAAAAAGGTACTTTTACTCTCCTTGTGTTGAAAGCATAGGGACTTTATTTTGGAATCAAAGTTGGCCATCAACTATGGGCCCCTCATATATGTTGTAAGACTTGTGTAACGTTGTTAACAGGTTAGTTAAGAGGCGACAATCGTAAAATGCCCTTTGCGGTACCAATGGTTTGGAGAGAACTGAGAGACAATACTACTGATTGCTATTTTTACCTCAGAAATATACTAAGTGACATATAAATCCGAACACCCAGTTTAAATGGTTTTATTTTAATAAAAGTTGGTGAATGTATTTATCTTACTGTAAATAACAAGTGAACAACTTTTCAGCCTTATCAGTTGGACATTCCGGTTTTTATACTGCTTTTTTTTTAATTCACTAACGCTCTAAAAATGAATATTTCAGCCGCAGTAAAGAATCAACGTTGGCGGATTTTGGTTCTTGACATCCTTTACGATCGGTTACGATGCCTAGAGTCCGGAGACCTGTACGATTTCGTCAACTTAGTGAGATTGATAGGGGCCGTATAGTGGGACTTCGGGAAGCTGGACTTTCTTTTCGGGCAATTGCAGTTAGAGTGCAAAGAAGTGTAGACACTATGGTAAGGTGTTGTCAGGCATGGCTTCGAGAAGTCCGTACGCAAAGAGCAAGGGGCACTGGACGCCGCCGTAGAACAACAGACCGTGAAGATCGCCGCCTAAGATTATTGGCCTTAAGGGACCGTTTTTCCACTACCAGGTCCATTGCAAATGAATGGTTCTCAGAACACGGAAGACCTATTGGCATGCGAAATGTTTACCGACGAATGAGAAGTTTTGGCTTGTTTTCATACCGGCCACACTGGGTCCTCCCTTTAACTCGAGAACACCGACGTAATCGCCTTGAGTGGTGCAGACAACGGTCACTCTGGGATCAGGAATGGAACAGTATTGGCTTTAGTGACGAGTCTCGATTTTGTTTAGGCATGCACGATGGTCGTGCCAGGGTTAGAAGGCGACGTGGTGAAAGGAGGAATCAACAGTTTTTTGTTGAAAGACATGTTCATCACACTGTTGGAGATATGATTGGGGTGCTATAGCTTATGGTTCCAGGTCACCTTTAATCTCCATCAGAGGTAACATGAACGCGCAGCGTTATATCCACGAAGTTCTTGAACCCCATCTTTTACCCTATCTTGACACCCGGGCAGATCCAACTTTCCAACAAGATAATGCCCGACCACATGTTGCAAGAGTCACAATAGACTTCTTTCAACATAATGATGTCACATTGTTACCATGGCCACCAAGATCTCCCGACTTATCCCCAATTGAGCACGTGTGGGATATGATGGGTATAAGATTGCTCAATTTGGAACGTCCTCCTCAGACTCTAGAAGCACTTCGAGAGGAGTTGGTGGTTGCCTGGAATGAGATACCACAGGAGGACATTGACCACCTGATCAGAAGCATGCCTAGGCGCGTTGGAGAATGCGTAGCACATCAGGGTGCATCCACACATTATTAAAGGTCAAAGGGCTTTAAAGCAGTGCAATCATTTTGAAATTTTTATCATTTACTTATTATGCTTCATTAAGTACTTATACAAAATTTTATTAAAATAAAACCATTTATACTGGGTGTTCGGATTTATATGTCACTTAGTATATTAAAAGTATTGGACCAAAATCGAAACATACTGTTAAGTATTTTAATTTGCCATCAGCTTTGCGGTCCCTTAAGCATAGTGATGAACTTTCTGTCCCAGTTCCATCAGCGTCTTGGTCTTTGGATGAAAAAGTCGAATCCACCGATTCTGAAGGTGATGGTACAGAAAGCGTAAAAATTTCAGATCTTTCGTTTGAACTGCCAGCGCCGCATTTGATCACACAAGGCGAACATAATGACTTAGTTCGGGAATTAAATCTGTCAAAATCCCAGTCAGAACTTTTAGCGTCAAGATTAAAAAGATGGAATCTTTTCCACGGTGATGCTTAATATTTCTTTTAATTTTGTTCACCGGTGTTATTGGAACTATTAATGTTTCCTCTTACAGCGAAAAATGATACCTACAATTACAGGACTTAACTTGACAGATCCCAGTAAAAAAGAAACAGTGTTGCATCCAGCTTAAAACAAGATATAGATTTTCAAAAAATTCTGCGATAAAAGCCTAAATGCTGTTGGATTGATCCTGAATCCAAAAACAAAGTAATGCAGTATTGGCACTTTTTGAGCAAGTATTAAAAAAAGTATAAAATCAAAACTATTGCATCATAGTAGTACATACAAGTCCATACTTCCATGAGAAAATGAATATTAGTTAGATAATAATGGCTATGTAAAACGTGACAAAACCGCCTTGATGGTAAGCTACCGTTATCCGACCGGGCATTCTCAAATATATTCGCTAACAACTCATTGTGATAAATGCTTTTGTCAATGCGTGTTTTGTTTTTTATTGCTGATAAATGGTAATCAGGCGCAGATATATGCTGATTTGAATTTTAAATGGTATGCTAAAGATTTTGTGAATTGCGGCTGTCGAAATAAAAAAGAGTTTTTTCGGCATCGAGGAATGTCACGCTGAATTAAATAAAACAATTAATTAAAAAACGTAGTGTTTTATTTATATTCACAGAATAAAAAAGGCGTTATTATATTGTTTAGGAAAATAGTTTTATACAGGAAAAGTCTATTCGTTCAGGAATGTTGCGTTCATGACTCAGATATGTGCCAATTATCTGGTATTCGATATAAAAATTACATTGATGATGATTAAAAACCCATAGAGCCTGTTCTGCGTTATGGCAATTGCTCTCTTGAGTTTTGTAGTTATTTTCTTAGATTCAGAAGATGCAGTTAGCCAATTTATTTAATAGTGAAGCTTTACTGTGGATTAACTTTGCCAAATTTTTACTTCAATATTTTTCAAATGAGACTATTAGAAGGTTAAGCCACATTGAATGATTATACATAGAATAAGCAAAATGTTATCTTCTCTTCTAAACTTCGGCTTTCCAAAGCAGTTCTTAGGAATAGTATGGATGAGTCTGAGTCCATTCTTATAATCTCCAATTATTTTTATTTTTCATTGCTTTTAAGTCAGATCACGGATCTATAAGTACCCAAACTTGTTCAGTAAATATTAGAAAAATGTTCATCAAGAAAAAGAAAGACTACGCTGATATGTAATATTTTAGTATGTAATTTATTCAGATAATTGTCACAAATCTGTTGTAATTCGAGTGTACAAGAGACAACAAAATAACGAGGCAAGTGAATCGATAGAAATTAATTAAAAAAAATCCTACAAAAATAAATACGATTTTTATATGTATAATATGTACAAGCTTTACAAAAATTCAAAACTTACTTAGATGTATACAGGTCCATATTTACAAACGTTAATCCTTTCTCGTTAGACTCCATCGATTCGCCATAGGAGTGAGTTCGGCCACCATTCACACTTATTTTTGAAAAAAAAAAATGACACATACAAACTTCGATCCTTTCACACGTTGCCGAACTTTTTGACTATATATCACATCCTGCTCTACTCATTGCACTCACAGTCTACAGTAGTATCACAATTGGGACTTACAGTCGAGTATAATCAGGAAAGGTAGGAGACAAAATTATTTATGGCAGGTTTTTGATAGGCATACCCCGAAGAAAAAAACAGAACGATGGAAAATGTATTCGGGTACAGAAAAAATAAGCTATGTTTGTGATACAGGAATTATAGTAAATGCAAATTTAAACAACAAAATATTGTTTAATACCTTGTAGTTTAAATATGCACGTACAAGATTTTTTTTCAAAAAATCACACTTATTTTGATAAATCGAATTTGAGATATAAAAATGTCAATAAATAGCGATTTTATAAACCCTCACAGCTTAACAGTTTTATATCATTATATCGAATTGTGTCTACCTATTGTAAACGAATTCATGAATATGGTGCATAAAAAAGATAACTTTTAAAAAGCTCGCTATGAAGCTAAATATGACAAAAATTGTGAATCTACTCAATTGCAAAATAGCACTGTTACATCTAAAGAGTTGAGCTTTTTTTTGGTGTTGCGATGAGTCATTGTGTCCAATCAACATGTAGCAATGTGAATTTATATTTATGAAAACTATCTACCTAGTTTGAACAGAATTTTTTATGTCATTTAATTGTCTACCGGAACACAGCTGCGTAGAATTTATTTTCACCGTTAAACAATTATTTTGATTTACATTTATGGCTACAAGTGTGCTTAAGAGATGCATTCATGTACCATCCATACAAAATGTATTTTTTGATTTACTAGGAACTTTACGTAAATAATATGCTTTATAGCTACTGTTTTTGGAAAATTAATTCAATAGCCAGTTTCAATCAATCAAAGCTTAATATGTCCAGTATATTTTATCGATAAGTCCTAAAATTTCATTTTCAAACATGAAAAAACGTTCATTTGAATAATTGTTAGTAGTAGAGTTTATTTACAAGTAATAGTTCCTAACTTGACAGTTTTGTTATTCTCGGTTGGTAGTTAAATTTTGTCAGTTATATCATCGTCCTTTAATGAATGTATTATGCCTCATATTACTTTTTCAGGCTTAGGCGCTCTAGCATCATTTGTAAATTTCTTATCTTATTTTGATGTTCTGGTTATCTAAATGAGCATTCCATTTTTAGAACTGGTACACGCACAAATTACTTTCTGTACTATTACGAAGAATTTAAGTTATTGTCCATTAATATCACATTGGAGGAGCTCACATATTTCCAAATAAATAGGCACTTTGTTAGAAAATAATGAATCATACAGGTTAATAATCAAGATATATGATACGAGCTTTATCTACGTTTGATTAATAATAGTTTTATGTATATTTTTTAAGTGAACATGATCGACGCTGGATTTTTCTGTGGACTTGAAGCACTCATAATTTTTTAATTTCGTACAACGATATGCAGCTACTCATATATCCTTATGAAAATATGTGTTTCGTGGTTATATAGCCAAAAAACAGTAGTACAAGTAATCTTGGAGTATGCATATCAAAAACCGGCGATAAACAAAATATTTGTCTCCCACTTACCGAATTCATCTCTAACATTAATGACGTTAATCAACTTCAACGTCAAATATGGATGGCGACAGTCCTTTGAGCGTTATTACCATTCCCGGGTGGATTGGGCGGTTGGCCCCTGGCACTGTGTCTGTGAACGTGGTGATGGACGTGAGGGTTCCTCACCGGCTGATGGTGCCTCTGGTTGTTGGGCACGTCGGGCAGCGCGTACCTCAGCTTCTCCCAGAACAACTTATCACCCCACTGCAAGTACACGTTGGTCTTCAGGTACAGCCGGATGTCGGGATCGAGGTCTTTCTGCGGCACTTCACCCAACAAAACCACTATCAACCGACGGCGCCGGTCTCGAAGCACCTGGTGATGCGCGGACTTGAACTCGAACCGGCACCATTCCGATTTGATGAAGTTCTCCGAGAGGATCATTATGGTTCGTTTGGAGGACTCCACCGCTTGCACTATCGTATCGGCTAGAAACGCGCCTACAGGGAAGTCCCTGTAGTGAAGGCACAACTTGTAGTTGGGCTCCAACGCCGGAGCGAGCACTTCCGCGACCCACGCTTCGTCTTTCGAACTGTAACTCACGAACGCGTCGAAGAGCTTCTCGCGATCGTCGCGATCCAGATCGGAAGCCCTTTGGAAGATGCGGATGCCGAACTTTGAGTGGAACCACACGCGCACTTCTTGCCGGAAAATGAAGACGATCAACATCATTATCACCACAACTGCAAACACGGCCAAGGTAGTCACTAGCAGAGGCAGGTAGTCCTCGATCACTTGACGCTGGATGATGGTTTTGGTTCCGGTGAGGTTGCCGTTGATGCTGTTGTCGATGTTAGGCAGTCCGGTGCAGGAATTGTTCTCTTGACTGATGAAAAAGCCGACTTCTGAATTGTCCGAGTAGACATCGTCACTGTAGAAGTCGACATCTGTGGAGTTGAATACACACCTCACCGATTTAGAGTCTTGCACCGCATCGCCGTGTCTCATCCACTCGCGAAGCTTCTCGGTGAACTCGCAGTCGCAAGACCAAGGGTTGTACGCCAACGTGACTTCTATCAGAGTCGTGGGGAGATTCCACATGTTATAAATGTTCAAACGGTTATGGTCAAGCTTCAGCACTCTCAGCTTGCGAAGACCTACAAATGTCTGGTTGTGGATACTTGTTATTCTGTTCCTCTGCAGGAATATTTCTTTCAGGCTCTCTAGTCCCTCGAATTCGTAACCATTTAGCTCACCCAAGCGATTGCTTTCCAGATGCAAAACTTCCAACTCTTTCAGCCCATTGAAGGTTTTGTTTTGGATGAATTCGATGTTTGAATCATTCAGAAACAATATTTTTAGCTTCTTTCGTCCAATGAAGGCGTGGCTGTTCATACCTCTCAAATCGTTTCCGTCCAAGTACAACTCTGTTGCGTCCATAGGAATTTGTTCAGGTAGTTTGGCCACATAGCCGCTCGAAGCGCAATCGACAACGTTCGCAGACCAGCTTTGATCGTGGTAACAGGTGCAGTTGGCAGGGCAGGTCATTTCACAGTCGCATGCGTCAAAATCACAACAGTGACATGTGGCGAAGCAGTGTGTGTCGTATGTACAAAGAAACTGATATGGGGCGGCCTCCACTAAAGGCACATACGTCTGGCCCCGCTTATGCAACAGCTGGCAGTAGATGCTTTCCAGATCGACAAGTTTCGGTTGGGTGCGAGCTCTGTTGCCCACGTTCACCTTCTGGAGCCACTCCATCGTGCAGTCGCACTGGAACGGGTTGCCTCCTATATAAAACTCCGGCAAGTCCTTCTCGGGCGGCACGGCTGATATCCGCAGGGCGTTCGGGTCTAACCTTGTGATTTTGTTTCCGAACAGGTCCACCCTCGTTAGATTCGGCTTCTTGAAAAACGTGTACGATTGCACTTTAGATATCAAATTGTCGTTGAGAAAAAGGACTTCCATGCTGTTAGGTATCGCACTTCCGGTGATTTCCGTGAGCTTATTCGCGCTGGCGTCGAACGTGCTCAGCGAAAGCGTCGACTCGATCTCGAAGTAATTGCCTAGTTCCTCGATTTGATTGGAATGGATGTCCAACCACTGCAAGCCGGTGGGTATGAGAGCGTAATCGAACCATTTCAGCTGATTGTCGGAGATGTTCAGCCAGACGAGACTTGGGAGCTTTGCGAACAACCCTTCAATGTCGGTTAGGTAATTTCCGTCCAGACGAATCGCCTGCAGGTTAATGTTGCTGTCAAATGCGCCGGCTGCTACCTTTTGGATCTTGTTTCTCGACAGATTCAGAATCTTCAGCGCTGTCATTTTATCGAAGACACCTTTAGAGATGTTGCCGATGTTGTTTTCTGTCAGTCGGAGGCCGTACATCTGCTTTAGATCGCTGAAGGTTTCGTTTTTTATGGTGTCTATGTGGTTTTCGCCTAAGTCAAGCGTCTTGAGGAGAGGGACGCTCTTTATCACCTCCGGCACCTGCATTATTTTGTTGCCGTTGAGGTGTAGGTCCTGTAGGCTGGAGCAGTTCTTGAGAGCTTCCTCATGTATCCAAGATATTCTGTTATTGTCTATGGATAGCAACGAGAGCACGTATAGTCCATTGAAAGTATCGCTGTCTATCCTAGTCAGTCTGTTATTGGAGATGATGAGTGTATGGAGATTGTAGAGAGCAGAGAAGATGTTGTCGGGTATCATTTCGATGAAGTTATCGTTTAAGCGTAAGATTTGTAAACTATAAAGGTCTCTGAACACAGATTGTTCCAACTTTGATATCCTGTTATACGAGATATCCAACACAACGAGTCGCACCAAACCCGCGAAAGTGGCGGCGTTAATCCAGTCAGCGGTGAGTTCGTTGTGAGATAAATCCAGCACAAGGAGTTGCGTGAGTTCACTGAATAGTCCGGGCGCGAGCACGTTGATGGAGTTGTTCTGGAGGTACATCTCGCGAATCTCCCGCGTGTCCGAAAACAGCTCCGGCGGCAAGCTGACCAACCGGTTATCGGAAATCTTGAAGATGTTGAGGGAGGTGAGTCCCTCCAATGCGCGATCGGCCAGCTGCGTCATCCGGTTCGCTTGGAGGTAGAGTTTTTGTAGCTGGCCGAGTCCCGAGAACTGACTAGACGGAAGCCGGTCGATCGAGTTGCGGGATAGGTCGAGGATCTTCAAATTGGCCCCGCACTTTTCCGACGGGTTCGCGGTAAAACGGAAACTCGACACCTCGCGCAACCGGTTACGTGTCAAGTTAAGCACTTCCAATGCGTACAACGGACACAGCACACCTTCGGGGATATTCCAGATGTTGTTCTCGCCTAAATCCAAACGTTCCAGGTTGCGAAGCTCGTCCGTGAAGGCGTTGGGCGATAACTCTAATGTCATGGAGGACCAGTCGGTGTTGTGAGTCCGCACCGTCAGGTTACGGAGCTCCTTCAGCCCACGAAACGCACCATCTGACAAGTTTCCGATCTTGCAATACTCGATGCTCAACTCACGTAACTCCACTAACTGCCGGAAACTACCCGCACTGAGCGAACTCTGGAAGAACAAGGCGTCACTGCACTCCAAACGCAGCCGGACCGTGTGCTGGGGTTGGATGACGGAGAAGTTGGTGTTCTCCAGCTCGCTGTTGATGGTTCGAAGTCTGCAGGCGAGGGCGACGTCGTCGTCATCTCGTGCATCGGCAACGGTGACCCACTTGCACTCGTCCGGAGCTTGATAACGAAGCGTCTTGCTCAGGGAAGCGGACAGCACCCCGAAGATGGCACCGAAGAGCAGAGCGCAGACCGTGGCCGGGTACTCCATGGGTGACTGTGCGGGTGGTGCAGGTGCGGTGGTAGGTGCGACAACGGCCGACGGTCGTGCTGTAGCATGTCCGGCACGTTCGGCGTTCGACAATCGACTGACGAAGGCGGCACGGCCGTGCTGGTGCTCGAGGTACGCAAGGCCATGGACGGCAACAGCCGCCGTTGACGCTGAGCGGCGCAACGCCGCCGCTGACGGGGTCTTCGTGTCCGCTGGGCCGCAGCCCCACCATCCGCGCCCGAAGAGTTGCAACAGTAGTACGGTCGACAAGGGCCGCGATCATTAATGGTGAAACCAGATGTTGTCATTGTACTGAAGAAGATCATTTGTTACTGAAACGTTTACTACAGTAAAGAAGATCTGTTGATATTTGTGCTTCTGTTGGCCATACATGCACGGGTGATTATCGACATGTAAACTATAGGCTAAATTTTAGATTCAAGATGTAAGCATCTATTGCCAAATAGTACGGATATCATTTAAAGAGCAATAAATACAGGGTGCGGCAGAGAGGACGGAAGTTTTTAGCTATTTTATGATTTTTTTAAAATCGTCCATCCTCTCTGCCGCACCCTGTAGTACAACGATATATTTTGCACAGTCTGTGTGCCATAAAGTTAAACAAAAGACACAAAAAAAGAAAGGCGCTACAAGTAAAGAGAAAATAAACTATGAATTAATTAATAGCTAATAGCAAAAAAGAATATACAGCTATGTCATGTTATGTTTACACATAATCATATAACAAACGAAAACGTCCAGAGAAAGGGGTAAAAGAATATTCAAATATGTGAGCGTATAACACTTCTTAATTCCTGAAATGCACAACAGAAAATAGCGCATTATTGCACATAAAGTTTATTGGTGCTTTATTGCGAAAACACAGTGGAAGCTGGTTTCCTGCTTATCAGCGCCGATCGGTACCGAATTTCGGCGCCGGTCATGGACACAGTGCTGACGAGAGAAAGCAAATAAAACCGGTCGTTTATAAGTTCCAGTATAGACTTCGCGTCAACCTGGGGTCTAACTAATTTGAAGATAAATCTATTGCATTGGACAGCACTGTCACTAAAATAATCACTAGGAAGAAAATGGTATTCACCCCAATTATCGTGAGGGTACATTATGGTGAATATCATCATTTGTTCAAGGTGTTGAAAGGTGACCCCGACCGCTTTTTCCAGTATGGGATTATAAAACATTCAATTATATTCTGGAAAAAGTTGAACACCTAACTAAAAACTGGTGTAACCTCCACAGTCTTTACTAGCTTGTCTATATCCATTATCCACATCAACCTGCTCTGACAACCAGCGAGAAACTAAGTAATCATTCCGGTAAAACCGGTAGCGCCGACTGCCTGCACCGACAAGCCTGAGCCTACCCCTTTTGTGTTATTGCCAACTCAAGAGCATGATATTGTTGTAGAAGATTAAAGGCGCCGGTTGGCGCTGGTTTGCCGGTAAGCAGGATTCCGACTTCCACTGTGTTTTCGCCTTTAGACAGAAGATTTGTCAGTTCCTAATTGCAGGAAAGGAAAACTATATTTCAACGTCAATCTAGGTATCATGAAATCAACTTGCGATAGCAAAATACTACAGCCGATGTTCACATGTAGTAATAATTTGTATACTCGTAAAAATATGATCACTGCCTGCTCTCTGCGTTTCTCCAAAAAAGAGGCACTAAATCTATTCAATAATAATGAATAATCATATATCCTTCTGGAGGATAGACACAACCACTTCAATAGTATATATATAATATAAGAAATTTCTTTTGCATTTTTTCAATATCATTTTTCGCACCGTATTATTATTTACTTATAACAAGCACTGAATAATAAGCGTTGTGATACTGAAATTTTGACAATTTATGATAATAAAGCAACATGTGCGACGCATTACTTATAATTTCACTATTTCACTCATGTGGTAGTTGAAGGTAAGCTGAGAATCGAAATTCACGTCGAAACCTTTGAATAAAGAATCATCAATTTTGTATGGGAAAGTTAAAAGTTTAACTTTCCGGGTGAAAGTTGAACTGCGGCATTTAGAGTTGTTCAGATATGAATTGTTATTGATATACCATATATCTAAAAAAACATTGTTAATAGTGGCTTTATATTTACCGGAAGCGCATTCTACAACAACAATCTCAACAAAGGTTTTCTGGTGATTCAACAAGAATAATACCACAGTGGATATTAGACAGAGAAAGAAAACTCATAGGTAATTGTAGGGATGTCATCTAGGCCCAAGGAATAAAAAAGGCATGTGAAATAATGGATTATGTGGAAAGCCAACGGTAAATTTTTAAGACTTACTATGACTTGATGTACCCCATCTCAATTTTATACTGGCCGTTGAATGAAATTGCAGATATAGAATTACTAACGTTTCTTTAACAGGCACCAAGTTTATCTTCGAGAACCAAAAATTCGCCGCGTTTGGCTTAACAAACAAGGAAACAAGGCTAAAAATCGCTTGAAAATAACGTAATCTTAAATCACTCTTTGGGCTCTTGTTACGTACTTGGCGACCTCAAAAATGATAATTTTTAACAGAGTTTTGAGCATTGATTTACCCATTTTTGGGGCTTTTCAGATATTAAATGGGGTATAATTCGAAATAGATCACCTTTAGAAAAAAGTTAGTGGAAACCTTCTTTGTTCGGAATGATCCAAAAAAAGCAAGAAAATTTCCGGAAAAATATTGTATGTTCAATACCCAAACATTCCGTTAAAAAGTCTTGACGTCGTCAGGTACCTAAACTAATGCTGAAACCTTGTTATACAAGACCTTGAGGAGTATTTTGGGACCACTTTGTTTTTAACCTTATCTTTTCAAGAAAAAACTGACCAACTTTTGATTTTTGCAAAGTGTACACGACGACCAAAAAAAAACTTATTTTAAAACGTTTCCAGCTATCTGATAGCATACAAGATGAATAATTGTATGAGTGGTCTTAAATAGATATTTTGTCTACTGGGCTATGAACAGCAACGTCGCCTCTGGAGCTGCCGGTGGTTGCCGCTGTGCCGCCTTGGCGCTGCATCCGCGCTGCACAACGCAGTCAAGTAGGAGTCGGAGCAACGGTGGTACCGGTGAACTGGCGATACACACACACCTAAACGACCAAAGCTCAACCAAAGGAAACGGCTGAATATGCGAACACGAGATGTTAATAGTATTTGCTGATATTTTGTGCCTGTTCTAGTTCCTTGCATATTCGGATGGCGAACCAACACAGAAAAACAATTGAGCAATTAAAGTTTTGACAATGATAACAATTATATTTCAGATCAAACACAATTAATGGGATACTAAAGACTTTAAGTCTGTGTATGGATCTTGTTTACAGTAAATGGTATTGCTCGTAATAGTTTGTTTTCCTAAAATCTAGATTTTTCATATTTAGTGGGTTGGTTCCTTTTTGCAAAAAGCCGTCCATTTGTACTTTAGTTGGAGTGCTATTTCAAGATGCATTTGTTTTTAAAACAACAATATCTTTTCTCTGAAAATGGCAAGAAATTCTCAAAAGTGTCTCACATATACCTACGCTTTCTTATATATTGTTTCCCATAGATAAATATATAATTTTCCCGAGAAAAAAGTGCTGTTTTGCACATTATATATTTTATCTGTGGTGTTCAAAAACTCGAAGTGCCTTAGAAGTGTACATACTTTTGTGTCCACATCTGATAATTTTTCGTAATCATTGAAATAACTACCTAGGTATTCATTTCAACCTTCTTAAAGCTTAAAGTTGCCTTATGCAGCAAGCAAAAACTCATAGATAGGTAGGTAGTATTATTTGCCTCATTGAGACTTTCTGGTAGACTTCTACAAGGTATTCTTGGTAGTTTAAACTGATAGTGAAATTGTACATGTAAGATATACTCATATGTCAATTTATTCTAAAACCTCTATTTATGAAGTACATAAAGGTTTAAAACTTAAGGGTTGGTTGTTGATAATTTAGGCACATACCCAGATCCTGCTGGGTTACCCAAGGTGTAGACAACAAACTTGCTTTTCGGCACTCTTAAATAGGTTTTCTATCTAACTGCTCGTTAAATTCACCTGAGAATCCATTTTCTTGCACCATGTTTAGTTTTTCAAAACGTGTACTTAGTGGACATGCTTTAACGGCTAATTTTGCATCTTTTGCTTTACACTACTTTTCCATAAAAAATCTTATATTTGAACTATTACCAGTACTAACGGGTGTCCCAAAATTAACGCAAATTTTGAATTAAATAGAAAACACAATTTTAAGTCGTTAGATTGTTACTTTTTATTGAGCCATAAAGGACTTAGGAATATCATATTGGACAGTTGGCCTCCACGACTTTACACATATTGGACATATCCATAGCATCCAATTTCGGCATAAAGAATTGTGTTATCATGGCGTGATATCGAGCATCAGTAACAGTTATGCTTCACCAGCCTCATTTTAAAAAAAGGTATGGTCGAATGATGCCTCCAGCCCAAAATCCGCACCAAACAGTGACACGTTGTGGGTACGGCAATTTTGGCGATTAAAAAAGTCATCAAGGTGAAAATGAGATTCATCGCTTAGAATGATTTTGCACGAAAAATCTGCATCCACTTGTTGATGTTCAATAATCCATTGCACGTTATAAAATAAAGTATGTAACTTGCTATTTTGCTATATTTTCACAAGTGGATTTGAAATTACGCAGCGGAATATACGAACTGTAGCAAAATATTCCTTGACACCTGACTATTGGTAGGTACATTGTGGAAGTGAAAAAAGCAACAAAGCAAATATTATCTGGCTTATTCCTTTTTTATCTGAACCCAGCTATTTAATTCTCATATAAACCCCAAAGAAAGTGTTTGATGCCTCTTTAGCTAAAATAGTTTAAATATGTTGATACAAAAAAGTTTGAAAGAACTGCTCCCACTTTATCTTGAGGGGGTGTCATCACGTTCATACCATGAATGAGAAATCTATAAATTGAGGTAAAAAAAATAGCACATCAAATTTTACACGTGTAGTATGGTGATTGTGATAACATTACAAAGTGCAATGTGTGAATCTGTTATTATTTTT